GCTGCCCCCCAGACAGCAGCGAAGGCCGCGGGGCACAGGCGGCCCTCACGAGGGACAGTGCAGCACCTCGCCTGGTGGCTCACACTTACTCATCCTTGTTCACCACCCCTTGGCCACTGGGGTCAAACATGCGGAAGGCACTCAGGATGGCTTCCTCGGGGTCTGTCCCTGGGAGGCAGAGGCAACCAGGTGAGCACCTATGTCCCCAGCCTCCCAGGCCCCAACCTGGTGGGGGCCCAGGGCACATGGGGAGCCCTCCGTGCCCCAGAAGAGGTGGGGGGCAATCCCTAATATAAAGTGTTCCTGGGGCTCAGAGGAGCTGTCCTCCTGAGGCGGGCGGGCCCGGCTGGGAGATTGGGATTTGGGATCTGGGATTTGGGAGTGGAAGCTGAAAGCACATTTCCTGACCCTAAGTCAGCACTGAGGTGGCCAGTGACCACAGGATGCTGGGGCAGAGGATGGGAGGGGGGCCCCACATCCTCTGGGTGGGCCATGGTCAGGTGGGGTCCAGGTGAGGTTCAGGTGAGGTTCAGGTAGGGTTTAGGTGGGTTTCAGGCAGGTTCAGCCGGGGTTCAGGTGGGGTTCATGTAGATTCATTGGGGGTTCATGTGGGATTTGCGTAGGTTTATATGGGGCTCATGTGGAGTTCAGGTGGGGTCCAGGCTCACTGCCTGGCAAGGGAGCCCCACTATGCCCAGGCTCACCGTTGAGCTTCTCCCCAAAGAGGGTGAGGAAGACGGTGAAGTTGATGGGGCCCTTCCCCTCCTGCAGCATTGCATCCAGCTCCTCGTCTGGGACGCTCAACTTCCCTGGTGGGGGTGGGCATGAGATGCACACAAGGACCCTGGGTGTTCCCGAGAGGGCCCAGGCTGCCCTCCCCTCCTTCCTAGTCACAGTGGGTGCAGAGGCAGAGGCAGCTGGGGGTGGGGAAGGGAGGGGGAAGGAAGGTGTCATGAGAAGGGGAGGGAGGTGCAAGGAGAAGGGGAGGGTGGAGGAAGGGGCGGCCCCACAGCTCTGAATAGGGTTCCTGAGTGAGCAGCGGCAGGCTGGGCGGGAGGTGGGTGCACGCACCGAGCTGGGAGTAGGTCTCCCTCAGGTCCGACTTGCAGATGATGCCATCGCGGTTCTGGTCGATGCAACTGAAGGCCTGTGAGGTGAGGGGCCCTCAGGTGGGAGCAGCCCACAGCCCCAGGGAAGGTGGGAGGTCAGGAAGAGTCCTGAGTGGTGTGAGGAGCAAGGTCAGGGGCCAGGACCACTGACCTACGGAGAAGGGGGGTGTATATGTGGGGTGGGGTGCAGGGTGCACGGTGCAGTCCAAGGCTGTTGGGGTTGGGGCACTCACTTCCTTGAACTCCTGGATCTGGGCTTGTTCGAACATGGAAAAGACATTGGAAGAACCACGTTGGGCCTGCTTGGTGGCTGCGGCCTTGCCTCGGGTCCCTGCCTTCCTGCTGGCCTGCAACACCATAGGTGGGGAACAGTCCTCTCCCCAGCTCCCCAAAGTCTCCCCTCCCTACCCATGCACAGCCCCAGAGCACTCCTGGGCTCTCCTGGGTCAGAGTCCTCTTCCTAGCACTGGAGACCACCTCTCTGGGTCCAATGCAGGCACAGAAGTCCCGGCTCTGCTCTCCCAGCCCTGGCTCTGCTCTCCCAGCCCCAGGGCCAGCAACTGGCACCTACCATTCTCTCTCTGCAGTGGTCTGGCTGCTGTGATCTTGGTTGTGTCATGGTCACAGGCCCAGCCCCCTTTATGTCTCAGCCTTATCACCTGGAGGTCCAAATAAGGAGACGAGTAGAGGACAGGCCCAAACTTGGCAGCCCCTGCCTGGGTTTGGGGAGGACGAGGGCCCCAAGCAGATTCCAGCTGCATTCCTGGTGACCTTCAATCCCCCACACGTAACATCCTGGTATCCATCCTAGCAGGACCAGGTGCAATGTCTCCCCAGATCAGAGCAGGCTCAAAGCTCTCATCATTCTAGGTACTGAATGAAGCGTCCCTTTTATCCCCCATCTGACTGCCCCTCCTGCAGGTCCAGCCAGAATCCTGGCCAGTCCAAGAGGACAGCTTGGAGAGGGCTGGCCCAGGGCCCCACCTGGCTTGGAAGGGCGGTGGGTGGTTCTGAGGTTGGTCTCTGGCCTGAGACCCCCGGGGATTCCCAGAAGTTTTGTGAAGACCCTAGATCTGATCTCTTGCTTCTCTGACCAAGGGACAGAAAGCAGCCCTGAGCTGTCTGTGACCCGACGCAGAAGCCTTTGCTTGGCTTTGGGCCAATTCTGGGGGGTGAAGGAAATCGTCCGCTGCCTTCCCTCATGGTCTGCCCTGCCTTGGGTGCCTCTCTGTGGACATTCCCACCTCCACTGTTTGGCATCTTGCCGTTGTCAAGCCCCATCTCAACTGCACCTCCTGTGGAACCTCTCTCTGATGTCCCCAGCCAGGAGCTCAGGTGACACGTTTCCCATTTGCCTGGTGGCTGATGGGTCGAGTCTCTGGACTGCTGGCCTGGGGCACAGCAGGCCGGCAGCCCCAGCGATGGGCAGCCCTGTGTGTTTTGTTTCGCATGAATCTATTGTGGCATGGGCTCTGGACTCCAAGCATCCCCTTGACCCCCTTGAAAGTGGGCCCTGGGGCCCCTCCGGTGGTGCTGCATGTGGAGTGAGGAGCTGGGTGACCCCTGCTGTTCTAGAGCAGCAGCCTGGCTGGCTCAAGGGCCAAGCAGGCAGCGGGGAAGTGGGGACCTTCTGGACTTTCTCAAGGCAGCAGGAGTAGCCCTGCTGGCTGGGCTCTCCCCGCCCCGAACCCGGCTATGCAAGGCTGCTGCGTCCATGGCCCCATCCACCACCCCTCCATGGGGGCCAGGTGTGCCTCTGTCAGTGGCCAGCTGGTGGAGCACAGGACTCTCATTGCCAGACCCAATGTCCCTTTTGTGTATTTGTATTTTACGATGAAAGGAAAAAACCCCGGCCCAAGCACAAAAGAAACGTACCAGGAGACAGGAACTCAACCAAAGTGTACCAGGCAGGCAAAATGAACAAGCGAGCTGCCCTCTCGAGAGTGGGAGCAGCAGCAGCGAGAGTCGGGTGGACCTTTTATATCCAGTTAGGCCGAGCTGGACTGTTCCTATTGGCTAAGAAGGAAGGGGAGGGAAGCGAGCGGGGTTTAAGCTGAGCTGGGATTTTTCTATAGGTGGAGAAATTTGCAAGCCGCAGGAAGGGGATGTGGTGGTGAGGAAGAAGGGGAAGGGTTTTTTTTGTGTGATTTTCAGAAAACGTGCTATTCTAGGGACCTGAAACTCTCCACAGCCGTTTTGGGTGTTCCTCCCGTCCACCCGCTGCCGTCTTAGACATCGGCTAAAACGTAATTGCCTAACATACGACATCTCCTTTACTCATTTATCTCAATGCATTCATTTCAATTCAGATATGTAACCTACCTACACAGAGAATTTTACAAAATCAATACAATGCCCTAAAACTATAATTTAAAGGAGAAATAGAAAGCAATTTATATTAAAATGTGTTCCAGTATGTGAATGCTTGAACATGAGTACATTAGTACTGATAATGCTTGCACCATGAATAATTTAGACTCAACAGATCTAAGAAGATTGAAAGCAAATCCACATGAGAAGCACCAGAAAGCAAGAGATCTTGGGGAGGGCGGAGTGACTTTCTAAAATCACAACTTTGGGTTAAATTCTGAATGAAACAAAACACAGTTGTTCCTGATTTGCGAGGCAGTCTCCCTCACTGCAAAATGAATGTGAATTAAAATCACACAAATAGTGTTTATATGTAACTGTGTTTATGCTACATAACATTAGGTCCTATGCTTGGCTAACACAAAATATGTATTTCACCAACAGGAGTGTCTGGGGGGACCTTAGAAATCACATGACATCTTGTATCTCTGGCCCCCACTCACTGTCAAAACCTAAGGTGGCTCTGAGGTGACAGGACCCTGCTGACACTGACCTGCTGTAGGATCAGCCCCATCCCCCAACCTGAGCAACTCCTGGCCTGGCACTCTCTCCCACACACACTGCACGGCAGGCGAGCTGGGACCTGGGCCAGGCAGTGTGCTATCCAGTCCTCTGACACTCCACATCGCCCATTCCTTGTCCTACAGCCAGTCTGTCATTCTTCACACTCCCTCAGGCATAGTTGCCAGAGGGGAAGGCAAATTCCAAGATAGACCTCAGCCTAGCAACATGTCCGCATGCCTGTGATCATGTTTCTTTATGTATTGTCCCCGCATAAGTCCCACAGTCCTTATGCACAGAGGTCAAAGAACGGTGGATAGGCCATGTTTAAAACTTTTACAATTTTTAATTAAAAAACCCACACAGTCCCAGGTTGGGCATGGAGAGGGTGGGATGGCATATGGGAGGTCTGGTGAGACAAGAGAGAGCCCGGGTGGTCCCCTGTGGGTGTGTTGAACGCTGCCTGCAGTTTCTTCCTGGGCCAGCGCCATGGGAGCTGAAGACGCCATCCTGCCTGTGGGAGCAGGTAGGGGGGCTCCTGACAGTGCAGGGCTGGGCCTCCTCCCCTCCGTGGGTCCCTTGGGACAGAGACTTGTGGGTTCTGTCTCTTGCATCTCTTGTGAGGATCCATCCCAGAACCTGCAGCCCGGGAGGCCTCGTCCTCGCAGCCGGGCCCTCTGCCCCCGTTCCCCGGGCAGCTGAGAGGCAGGCAGTGTGGAAATGCAACACAGTCCTGAGTGGGCGACTCCCTTCTGGGTAGTTGATTCCAGCAGGAAAGGCAGGGGCTTTGGGAGTCTCTGTTCCTGCTCCTCCCAGCCCCTACCCCAGTTAGGGCCCTAGGGCTGTCCCACCAACCGACGACTCTGAGAGAAGAGGCCGGCTCGCTTTCCCTGGGGGCCTCTCCGCATCTTCCGCGGGTGGCAGCAGAATGGGTCCTTACAAGGCGAGGCCTCCTGCCCCGGCCAGGCTGGGAGCGCTGTCCCGTGGAGCCCTGGTCCAGTGCGGCTGCGGCCTCCGCTGTCACTGGCCCAGCATGCAGGCCTTCTTACAGGCCACCGCCGAGACCAGGGCCGCGCCCCGGCCGCTGCCCTCCTCCGACTCGATGAAGGTGATCTCGCAGCTGGGCGTCAGCCTGCGCACGCTGGCGTGGAACCGCTCCTTGAAGCTAAGCGGGAGGGAGCAGGGCTGCCTAGCCGCCTCCCTGCCCGTCCTCCAGCGCCGTCCCCGGCGCCCCGACGCCGCCCACCCTCGCCCCGTATCTAGGCCAAGGGGGACGAGGAGCGGAGGAGCCGGGAGCCACGGGGGCCCCCGGCGCGTCCCCCATGGAGCAGTGGGGGCGATCCTGCCCACCTCACCCGGCCAAAGCGTTTGGGGCGTGGGTGCCTGAGGGGAGCGCGTCCCGGTTCCGCCAGGGACCAGCAGTAACCCGGTCAGTGCCGCTCCCTCTCAGCCCAGGGTCTCCGCTCTAAGTGGGAGAGACAACATTGCCGCGCCCGGGGTGGGTGCGTGGGTGAAGTGACACGGTGTCCACGGCGGGTGGGGTGCCACGGGGTGGGGGCACGCGAGCGCTGGGCCAGCTGCAGGGCCGCGGGCTCCCCGGGCGCCTCCCCTAACCCTCTGCTTTCCCGCCCCCGCCCCCACGCACCTCTCCACCTGTGACACGAAGCGCGTCTCGAAGGCGCCGCGCGTCCGCAGCTGCTCCGAGGCCTCCCCGTGGAAGAGCAAGTTCTCGTCCACGAGCCTGAGCAGCACGAGGCGCACCAGCTCGCCCATGTACTTGCCACCGATGAGCTTTTCGTACCTGGACACAGGGCGGCTCGTTTATGTCAGCAGGCCTGCCGGGAGATCCCCACCACCCCCCATACGGTCACGAGGCCGCCACGCGGGGCACCCCGCCCCATGGCCCAAGGACCTGGGGTCACGCCTCTTCCCTCGGAGTCGAGGACCTGGTCCAGTCCCCCCTGGAACCTCTCTCATACGGGGTCCTGCGCTAAACCCGCGGCCTATCACTGTAGTCCTCCCACAGCCGTGTAGGGGGCTGCTGTCCTCATTGGCCAGTTACAGTTGGGGAAACTAAGGCTCGGAGCGTTAGCGCCCAGCCTGAGGCACGCACCACGGCGCCGGCATGCTCTTGCTTGATCTACGAGCCTCTGTATTTTCATCTTGGAATACATTGAATACTACTGAGCTAATTGAGGCCCTGAGCTCAGAAATGAAGCTAACAAAGTAATTAGCATGGGCCTGGTACATAGGAGGTGGTTAACAAATGATAGCCATGGTCTGTGCCGGTTGGTTCCCAAGCTGGGTTCTGCCAACCTGCAGCATTCCACACAATGCTAACGTTCCTTGTGAACCTGGACAAATATGTGCTTTGAGAAACCCTGGGTTAAACTCTGTAAGCCTTGCTGGGGGCGTCCCAGAGCCTTCTCATGCTTGAGATCACCTGTTGGAAGGGAGAGGTCCAGGCTTATCTAACCCCATCCATGCCTAACCCTCCCCCTCCCTCACTGTTCTGGTTCACAGGGGACAGGTCACGACTGCACTGAAGGGATCGTCAGTTTGCTTTTCCCCAGAGCTGTTTAAAAACAAGCCCATTATCTGTGGTGGCAGGGCTCCCATCTGCTGTCCCAGAGAGCCAGGCTGGTGTGTGGGGGGGAGACAGGAGAATCCTTACAGCTGCTGCCCAGGGTTTGCTGAACTCTCGTCCACTAGGCGGTCGTACTCCAGCAGGAACTCGTCCAGCTCGCCTGCATTTCCGAAGGCGCCCCACTCGGTGTTGACACACATGCGGCCCTCGTCCCCCTCCACCAGCTCCACGTTCTGCATCTCCTCCATGTAGCAGGCATTGCAGCCCGTGCCTGTGGGGCGGCCGTGTCAGGCCCCACCCAGCTGCCCCAGCTGCACTTCCCCCAGGTGTGCCCAGTAGGGCCTGGTTCTGCCTGCAAGAGGTCCCCTTGGCCCTCCATGCCTATGTAAAGAGTCTCCCTGTGTTGCTTGGATCAATGGAAAATTGATCCTGGGGCTGAAGGCCTGGGCTAGCTGTGTGGCCTGGGATAGGTAGGTGGGCCAGCTCTCCAAGCTGTCCTCTTCCCTAAGAGGGGACGGTAGTACCTCCCCCACCCTGGGTCGTTTCTTGGGTCTTTGGGAGGATGGAGGGGAACAGTGTGCATGGGTGTGGGATGTTGCGGCATCATCTTGTCTAGGCACCACTCTTGTCTTCCAGCACTTTCCACACAAGTGTCTGATCATTTTTATCCTGGGCTGTGTTTGAGGCACCCAAAAGTGAGTAAGGCACCATGTGGGCCCTTGGGAGCACCCAGAGGCTACTGCAGGCAGGACCGGCTATGGAATTTGTAATTTGCTGGGCCTGGTGCAAAGTGACAAATGTCAACCCCTTTGTAAGTTATGATGAGTTTCAAAATGGTGAGGGCGGAGCCCCAGCGGGGCGTGACTACATGAGATGTACACCCCTGGCACTGCCAGGGACACAGCTCAGGTGCTGCTCAGTCTCACTGCCAAATGGGAATCAGGGCCCACGATGCCTGGCTTTCCAGTTTGTTTGCAGAGAAAACATAAATCTAGACTTTGATATGGATTCTCCCAATTTTTAGATCCTGGTAATTATTATAAACACGTTTTTAAACACTAAGCAAAGGCGCCAAGAGTGTTTGTGGGGCAGATGTGAGCCTTGCCCATCTCTTGCCACCTCTTCTCTGCGAGGGTGCGCTTGGGCCCAGCAGCTACAGCTTGGCCTGGGGAGAATGCATGTTGGGAAGTCTTGGGGAGCCCGGGGCAGCTCTGGGGGCCCGAGAGGGCCAGGGGAGCACAGCCAGGGATGGTAGGACTCACTTTTAGAAGTTGGACTTAAAGACACCTTTGCATCCAAAAGGGGAGAATGGAAATAAAAGAAATAGGACATGAGAAGAGAGACAGCAAGTTCAGGCTGGAGCTTAAAAGGTATATTTATGTTTATAATGTTGACATGTATGCATGTGTATAAATACGTACAAGGGTACTTCAAAAAGTTAATGGAAAGATTTGCATTATCTTTTAATTCTATTTTTCCATGAACTTTTGAGTATCCACATATGATATACATAAGATGTGTATATTTGGGGTTGGGGATATAATACGGTGGGTAACTAAGAGCACAAACACAGAACCTTTCAGAGTTGGCTCTGCAAGCCCACAGAAGCAAATAACTTTAAACTGATTTTCTCGGTAACCAGGGCGGAGAGAGTCCAGAAAAACACCCACACGCCTGTGTGCACAGCAGATAACTGATCTGATTGATTTGCTCCTCAGTAAACTCTTGTTTCGACAATCGTGGGAACTTCTGAGAAGGCCCCCAGGTTGCTGTGAGACCCCTCTGCTGGAAGGGGTAGGGCTGCTGCTCCCTTTCCTGGCACCTGCCTTCACTTTGGGCAGGGGCAGGGGGACGGGCCGTAAGACCGTCCAGGAAGGGATGACGCCACTTTCACTTATCCTCTTCCACTTGGACAGATCTGTCCAGTTTGGTCAATTTACCAGATACAGTGTTTTAATTAAATCCTGATGGGCCAGGTGACGTGCAGCTGGCCTGCCATCTGCATCAGCATGTTGAAATGCTTCCTACCTGGACACGGCCCCCGCATCATGACACCCAAGACCAGCTGGGCTCTGCACTGGGCCCTGCTCCGGCCGCCACCCTGTGGAGTCCCCATGCAGCCTGCTGTAGGCAGAGGAGCCTCAGCAGTGTGGAAGGGGCAGGGGCTCAGGAGCCCTTACCCACAATCATGCCGACCTCACACTGGCGGTCTTCGTAGTAGCAGGAGATCATTGTGGCCACTGTGTCGTTCACCATCGCCACCACGTCCATCTCAAAGTCCTGCCCAGAAACATACACAGAGACTGCAGTGATGGGGACCAAGAAGAGAGGCTGGTGGTGCTGGGGTGGGGGGCCCAAGGCAGCCCCCGGACAGGCTTAGGTGCTCCCTCACCCCTCTCCGTTTGATGGCATCTCGGAGAAGCCCCACGATGTTGTTCCCTTCTGCTCCTGAGGCCTTGAAGCCCTTGGTCCAGTTGAGAAGGATGCCCTGTGGGAAGAGGAAGCCTGCTGACCCTTGCTGGGGCTGGGCTGCAGCCCTTCACTAGCTCCTGACCGGGGCCACAGGGTTATGCACCCCACTTTACAGTTGAGGAATAGGCTTGGAGCAGCCATGTAGCTTTGAGGGGTGGTGGGGATGATTCTCCACGAATAGCTCATATTCTGCAGGGCTGGGTCCCAGCCAATTTAAGAATGTCTGTACAATAAAGCCCAAAGACATCATCCCAGAGTAAAGATAGGTGCCGAGGGGATAAGCCCTGCATAAGATTGGGGTTCCTCTGCTGTGATGCACCCTGCTGCAAGTGAGGGTGCTGCCTGGCCCTCACTGCATCTCTGTGGGAACTGGGACTTGGAAAAACACATAAAATGTTGCTCCAGCTGCTTTGTCTCTAACCCAGAGTTCTCCTGTTTTATGTATGTGTATGTATAATTTATGTGTGTAGGTGTAACCAGCAGTCTGACTTGCTAGCTTGCAGTAGGGTAAAATCTCAGCCCCTTCCCATTTCTGAATCAACCAGAGGCACTGTCATGTCACAATGGTCCATGGGTGAGTCGGAGCCCCACTCACGCTACCACCTGCCACTGCCCACTGTAGGCAAGTTGCTTAACCTCAGTTTCCTCACCTGTCGTGGGGTGACCATAGCACAAGCATCACAGGGTTGTGGGAGCCTTAGGGCACGTAATAAGAATCAGCTAACATTACGCTTATTTTCCAAAGCCTCGTGATCGTGACAGGGCCATGATTGGAATCCAGATCTCCCTTCAGAGATCTTTCCCAACACGTGGTGGGGGCGGTAGAGTTCCTCTGGAGGGGGCATCCACCCATTCGTCCACCCTCATCCCCCCACCACCCGTCACCTTTCCCACCTTGTCGATGTCCTCGTGCCTCACAGGGAAGGAGAAGGTGAAGCCCAGGGGCAGCTTCTTGTGCTTCATCTGATGCTTGTCCAGGAAGTCGGAAATGCACTCGGAGATGTAGTCGAACAGCTGGAAGAGGCGCACCACGGTGGCTGTTGGGCTACAGGGGGTGGGCTGCCCGGCTGCCCTCCCTGGGGCCCATGCTGAGGTGCTCCTCAGGGGGTGTTGAGCCATCAGGCCCCAGGGGAGCGCTGGCCTCTGTGCCTGCCACAGCATGCCAGGCCTGCCCGCAGTTGCCCTCTCCTCTTTGGCTGGTGCTTGTTGGGACTCAGGCCCTGGGCCTTGCCAGAACCCCCTGACATCAGCCTCTGGGACAGAGTGACACAGATGGAGCCAAGGAAGTCTGGCTTCAGGTGTGCCCTGCTGTCCCATGAGGCTCTGGACAGAGGTACATCCTTGGCTGTCACTGAGATTTCTATCTTCAGCTCCCAGTCATTTTTGCTACTTCCAGGTGTCCTGGCCACCCTGTCCCCCTCACGTGGGCCTGTCCAAAGAACTGGGCATTGCTGAATGCTCTGCAGATTGACCCTGCTGGGTGTTGAGGCCCAGGGAGGCACCCGCACCATTCTCGCTACCTTGATTCATGCCAGGCTCCATGTACAGGGCAGTGAGCTACAGGTGTGGTGAGGGCCAGGCAGCCACGGGTGGCCTCGGGCAGCCTCCTGTCTTGGAGACCTTCCCCTCTGGGAATCAGCCCTGGCTTAGTGCCTGGCCGTGCCGGGGGCTCTGGCTTTGCCCACCTCCCCAGGGCTCGCCATGGTCGGGGGTCTTGCTGCCTGAGCAGACATTGTGATTGCTGTCACCCCACTTAGTGTGCACACTGGTGGAAGGCAAGGACCGCCTGTGGGAAGGGGTGAGTGGCACATTCTCTAGCTGGCAGGTCACATTTCTGTCCTTACACGTGGGCTTTTCCTCTGGGAAAGTGGACAGGGTGCAACTAGCTGGACCTCCTCCTGCCACTGACCCCTCCTCAGCCTGTTCCCATCCCTGATGCTGGCCAGATGGTAACTGTGGGATTCAGGGACACATTGGCTGTGCCTGGTGGCTGTCCCCCTAGGCTTCTGAGCTGCCTTCTGGGGCCCTCTGAGGCTGGTGATCCTCCTGCCCACAGCTCCCTCTGCCCCTGATGGATGGATGGACCCTCCCATGAGGACTCATTGAGCCCTATGATCCTGGGCAGCCTTCCTCACCCCCCAGACCCCCGCCCCCAGCTGCTTACCATCTCGGCGGTGCCTGTCATGGCGTCCTCAGGGATGGAGTACATCTGGTGCTTGGTCTTCACACTCCACTGCCCCGCCTCGCCCTCCCCCACCTTCACCAGCATCACCCTGAAGTTGGTGCCGCCCAGGTCCAGGGAGAGGAAGTCCCCGACTTCTGCAGGCACAGGGAGAAACACGTCAGCCTCATGGACAACCCCTGGCAGGCCCTGGGCTGGGCGGGATCTGGGTGACGGGAACAAGAGAGCTGGACAAGGGTCTGCTGATGCCAGGCTGGGGGATGCCAGAGCAAAGAAGGGGAAGTGGCCAAGGTGAACTGGGGAGAAGTCAGTGAGTCACCTGGAGCCTAACAAGGACCTAGCACAATGGCCCAGACTCAGGACTGGGTTGGGGGTCTCCTAAGTGACCCCAGGCAGCTGTGCCTCGTTGTGAAATGAAAAGCCAGTTTTCCTGAGGCTCGCTGGCTCCAGGGTGGGCCTGAGTGCCCAGGGCTGGACCACAGAAGCCGAGGGCAGAAACCGGCCCAGCACATTGGGGACTTCATGGCGTCCTGTCTCAGGAAGGCTGGGGACAGCCGAGCCACCTAGAAGGGCCTGGGCGTTCCTCATGCTAGGGCCTGGCTGACAGCCGCGTTGGGGTGAGGGTCCCATCCCCGTGGCACCTGAGCCCTCCGGGGTGGAGCGCACGTAGGTGGGCAGCATCTTCACACTGGCCTCCTCATGCGTCTCCAGCCTCAGGCCGCGGTCCATCTCCTTCTGCATCCGCCTCATCACCTTCTTCAAGTCCTCCTCCTGCAGCTGGAACTCCGCCAGGATTTGCTCCACCTGCGCGGGGACGGGTGGGGCTGTCACCAGGTGCCCACACACTGGGGGTCTCCTGGGGCATTTCCCACACACATCCTGTCAGCACCTTTTTTTTTTTTTTTTTTTAAAAAGATGACCGGTAAGGGGATCTTAACCCTTGACTTGGTGTTGTCAGCACCACGCCCAGCCAGTAAGCGAACCGGTCATCCCTATATGGGATCCGAACCCGGGGCCTTGGTGTTATCAGCACCGCACTCTCCCGAGTGAGCCACCGGGCTGGCCCCTCCCACACACATCCTGAATCTCCTTTTATCCTCTGGCCCTGGGTCATTTCAAACTCTTGACCACAGTTAAAACCAGCTGAAAAATGGTAAAAGTGGATTTCTGAGACCAGCCCCCTCAACAAATTAGCCTGGGGAGTGTGGGAAGGGCAAGCGGCAGAGGCACAGTGGCTTTTGTCCCTGGTGATATCCCTGTGGCACAAGGTCTTGTAGCGCCTCCCTTGGTCCCTCAGCTCTGGGGCAAGGGGAGGAGGAGGGGAGAGTTGGTGAGACAGGGCTGGAGTGGCAGGACTGGAGGGTGACCTGCCCCTGGCACTGCTGTCTAAAAGATCCCATTATTCGGGGCCGGCCCAGTGGCGCACTGCTACAGTGCGCCGCTTGGGAGTGCGGTGGTGCTCCTGCCGAGGGTTCGGATCCCACATACAGACCGGTTCCCGCTCACTGGCTGAGCGAGGTGCGGGTGCAGCACCGAGGGTTGCGATCCCGTTGCCGGTCCCGGTCCGGTACGGGCGCGACACTGAGGGTTGCGATCCGTTGCCGGACACGAAAAAAAAGAAAGATCCCATTATTCTACTTCTAGGACTTAATGCCAAGGAAATGAATGGGCCAGCCAGTGCAAGAGAGCACGGGCATGGCCTCGGCCACACCAGTCAGGAGGGGATATTATTGCCCATCAGGGTGTCTGCTTATCAGCCCCAGAGTGGACAGCTCTGAGGCCGCAGAGGGAGAAGGGTCTCCATGCACTGGCCTGAGAGAGGCCTGTGCCCAGGAAGTGCAGATTCCACACTGCCATTCAAGTATGGACAGCCCGTGGTGTGGCAGTGCACCCTCCACACGGGGGCAGGAGGACGGGCCATGAAAGCAGCTGTGGCTCTGCCTATGCGACCCCAGTAAGCTGCAGGTGGATGGGGTTTGTCAGTCCCCTTCTCACAAAGTGCATATTCATGTTGATACACTGGTTATATCTGGGCAGTGGTGAGAAAAATAATCATAAATATTTTCATTTTGAACCAAAAAGGAAAAGGAAAGATATGCTGATAAAAGTCGTGGATCCATTCTTTACAAAAACTCACATTCTTCTGCCTACGGTCTTATGCATAAGTTCAGGGGGTTGGAGCTGCTCTGAATTCCAGCCAGAGGCAACAAAGCCATTTGCTGCCCCTTCTTCCTGTGTTTAGAACTCAAGTTTTTTGGGGAGTGGGTATAGCAGATTATAGCCTATGATTGGGCTAATCCAAGCACAGTGATTCTATCTCCTTTTGTCAGTAGTTGGTTTAGAGTTGGGCATGTGGCCCAGTTCTGGTCCATGGCAGGTGAAGAAAAGCCTGATTTCAGCAGGAAGGGAAAATTCAGTGCCCCCCTATATTTGTAAGTAAACACAGCTGTATAAGGATGTGATGACGGGCACTGCAGCAGCTGTCTTGCAACCATGAGGAAACAAGTCTGAAGGGAAAAGCTGCTAGTAGTATGCCTATAAGAGATGGATGCCCAACCCTCTACCTCCACATGCTGATTATGGGAGCAAAATCTAACTGCTTATGTCACGGGTACTCAGGTGTTTGGTTTCCTGCAGCCCAAATCACTGCTGACAGATACAGATCCTTAGTTAAGAACACTTCTCCTAACGAGATCCAACACTTAAAATTTAAACTCAGGGAAGGTCAGAAAGGGATGGAGCTGACAAAGGCTGTGACAAAAGACACAGAATCAAGCACCCGTGTTGGCTGAGCAGGCGCTGTTCTGCAGCTCTGGGCATGGGGGTGGAGGGAGGGCAGCCCCCATGGCTGTCCCTGTGGACCACACCACTGGTGGTCTGCTGCACTCTGTGGAACAATCCAGGCTGTCCTCAAAGGCCCACGGTTCCAACCTTTGCCTCTTGTGTCTCTTTCCTACACTTGCAAATGTAGAATATGCCAGGAACTAGCAGTAGTAACATTCAATGTTTGCTGAATTCCTCCACTATGCCAGGCGGGAGCTGGGTGCTTCACACAGCTGCCTCCCAGCCTCGTCACAGCAGCACCAGGGATGAGGTGCCAGCATCTGCCCACCTCCTAGATGAGGAGCTTATGGAAGTCAGCTGTGCAGGTGCACACATCCAGCACATGCAGTGGGGCCCATGCACACCGGGGCTGCCCGCAGGAAGTCCTTGTCAGCAGGTCCACATCCCCCTCAGGTTCAAGGACCTGATTATAAAACACCTGTGGGCTCTTAACAAAAGAGATGCTGATCTTGCAGGGTCAAGCCATCAGGCCCCACTGGCTCCATCCCACCCCTCTGTTGGGACAGCTCATCTGGCCTAGGGCTGTTCACAGGAGGAGCCAACACTTCAGTCTTGGGGGAGGACGATGGCTTGGGAGCCCATGCCGGAGGCTGGTCACAGTGTGGCTATAGTGTCAGAAAGCTGAGGACTCCTGGGCCGGCCCGGAGGCGCACTGGAGAGTGCACCGCTTGGGAGCATGGCGGCTCTCCCACCGAGGGTTCGGATCCCATGTGGAGACCGGTTCCCGCTCATTGGCTGAGCGCGGTGCGGGAGCAACACCGAGGGTTGCGATCCCGTTACTGGTCAGTAAAAAAAAAAAAGACAAAAAAAAAAAGAAAGCTGAGGACTCCTGAGTGACCTTCCCTTGCAGGGCTGCATGGAGAACTGGCCCAGCCCTGGGAGGGACACAGAGAGAAGGAGATAAATGGCGGCTGTTGTTTCTATTGTCACAGATATGGAGGACTGGAAGGACCCCATAGGGCCTGGAAAAGCCCAAGTCTTCAACATCCATGTCCAGGCCCATGGGCCAGCCACTGACTGAGGACGCCCTTGCTCTGCTGCCTTCTGAGCCAGAACATGCCCCCTGAGGAATCCCGGGCACTGCATGAGGTCAAATGGATGCCATCTGTTCAGAGGACAATTTGGAGTTTCTATCAACATTTAATTTTGACTTAGTGGTTTCTTTCCTAAGAATCTGTTCTGCAGAAAGAGTCCAGCAAGCACTTCACAAGAAGCACATGAAGTGTCTCCTATTGCCACAGGAGACCCCATTCCACCCGTGGGGACTCAGCATCAATGCTGGGACACCTTACCATGGGGCCTTCTGTGGCCCTTACAGGAAAGGAGGTGGAGTCTGGGAGGAACATCCGGGCTAAGTGAAAAAGAGAGATGGGAACTTAGGCCAACCCTGAATCCATTTTTGTAAATCCAGTTGCATCTGGCTTGTGGGTCTGATATGTCCTGTGTCATATCCTCAGAAGCTTAAATTTGCTGCCAACATTTAAAATCTATTTAAAATAAAGACATTTTTAGAGAAAAATCAGGATTTCTGATGGGTTTTTGTAAAAGTAGGCCTCCATTCTCAATGAGGGTGTGGGGAGGTGAGTGCGTGGAGTGGGGAGCCTGTCCCCGTGGTGGTGGAGCTGGCTGGAGCCACCTGGGCATGGCTGACATGGGGGTTCACCTCCTGCTGTGGGGAGCATGCTGTAAAGGTGAGCTTCATCCTTGGTGGGCATGAGCCCCTTCCTCAGATGCCTGCACTCCTGGCCCTGGGTCAATGTATGACCCCAAGGAGGGAACTCCCACTGGCTCTGTCTCACAGCCCTGGGGTCATGGTGTGGGGTGGGGGTCTGCCTCACAGGCCCCCAGGGGTTTTCGCAGGAGCAGGGACTCAGGCTGAGCCACACTTCCATGCACCTGGCCTGCCCTGGGCACCCCCTGTCATTCCTACAAAACCCGGGACACAGGTATTTTTATTCTCTCCACTCTACAAGTGAGGAAACTGAACACACAGGTACAAACCCTTCTCCAATCCCTCAGCATCGGGGGGCACAGAGCTGGGGTTTAAACTCAGATGCCACTCCGAGCCTGCCCACCCCTCCCCAGTCCCCACTTGGCTACCTCCTGCCCCATTTCAGGGCTGGCCCCAGCCCTTCCTGGAGCCCAGACCCCAGCTACAGGTGTTTCTTTGACACATCTCACGCTGGGCATCTGTGCAGGCTTGCAGGACTTTCCTGAGTAGCCTAGGAAATGTGGGTGCTGCTGGGGGGCCCAAGAAGCCACAGGCCCCCACATATATCCCCAGGAGAACAGAGCACAGAGACTGCCCTGACCCGGCAGCCTCTGGGAGGCAACCCCAGTGGCCCACAGAAGTTTCTCTTGCCTGCCAGCTAGGGGATTGGCCCCAGGTAGCATGTGAGGCCAGCATTCAGAGGAAAGTCCGGCTGGAGATACAAATCTGGAAGCCATAAGTATGGGACAGTCCTTAAGGCCACAGGCCTGGACAAGGTCACTGGGTGTATAGGTTGGATGGCAAAATGAGAGGGGCAGAGCTGGCTGGGCAGGGCCGTGGGGGCAGGTTGCAGCACAGCTGGTGGAAGGCTGTCCCCTTTACACAGTGAGCAGTGCTTGAGGTCCCATCCCCAGAACACAGGAAGAAGGGCAGGCACCTTTCAGTGCTGCATTTGATGGACCAAGGAGGGCCCGAAGGAGCTTCCATTTCAGCACTGGTGGAGCCTCAGGCCCCGGGGGACAAATGCTGCAGGCCCGTCGCAGTGCCATGTGTCCAGCTGCAGCCCGGCCCCTCTGCTCCTGGGCCCCTGGCGCAGCTGTGCACACAGTAGTGAGCGACCCTGGGCCAGCCGCCCACAAACTCTTCAGGAAGAGAGTCCCTGAGCCACCAACCCCCAGACTGCCACAAGGAGACACTGAGTGCTGGACATCACTTCCTGCCAAGCCCCAGGATGGGTGCCAGATGCCTGGGTCACTGTCAGCCTGGGAGCAATTTCCTGAGAACTTCTGGAGAGGCTGGACAGTGGGTGGCCACAGCAAGGAGAGGGTGGTGGGGAGAGGGTCCAGTGACAGGCACAGCTGCCTTAGCCAGGACCCCCAGAGGCCTGTGTGCCTCCTTTCAAGGGGTCCAGGGTCTGCTCGCCACCCCCTACCCCCAACCTTGGTTTTGGTAATCTGAAAAACCAAGGGCATGTCCCTGAGGGCTACTGTCCCAATCCTAGGCCCCCGGCTTTGGAGTGACCCTTACCAGAGTGAAGGCTGTCTGGGCCTGGCTGCTTGTCACATCCTTTGCCATGTCTCTGAGGGCCAAGAAGTAGGTTCTTTGGGAATTGGAGATGTTCCTGCCTGCTGTGGCCAAGAGTGTGGCTGCAGCTTTGGAGTCTGAGGGCAAGGTGAGGGCTGCCTGGTCAGAGAGTTGCCTGAGGCCAGCAGCCCACACTTCTGCACTGAAGGGCTCAGCAGGCAGCTGCTGAAACACTCTGCCCACTGCCATGGGGTTGGGGGCAGGGCCAGAAGGACAGAAGAGGCCCATGTAGGTCAAGGTTGACTAGGGCTGTGGGGACAGGGCCTGGATTGCTGCCCAGAGGGTGGAGGGCAGTTGTGGAACCAGCCTATCCATCTTCCTCTCCTTGGACTTGTGCGGGTGGGAAGTCAACCTGGCTGCTTTGGCGGGCAGAAGTGCTAGCTGAAATGCCCTCAAACAGGGCAGGGGTACCGAGAAGGCCTGGCCTGTGCCAGCAAAGCCGACTTGCTCTCGGAGGTAAGGGGGATCCCCCATGGATTTTCATCTGTGGAAAGGTCCGATTTGCATTTCATACCATGGGGGGTCGGGGAAATCCTGTATGGCACTTGGGTGAGCAGGGGCATGCAAGTGGCAGGAAGGCCAGGTCCGAAGCTGTTGCAGAAAAGGACACAGGCCTGACCACTGCAGGACTTGGGAAGGGTGAGCAGAGGGTGCGGGAACTCAAGATGCTCAAGGTAGAGGTGGGAGGTGGGCGTGTCCCTCCTGCCCACCCAGCCGCAAAGTTGGCGCAGTGACGCACACGTGGCTATCACCCCATTGGGCCAATGAGAGCCAGGTTTAAGCTGGTGGAAGAGCCACGATCAGGTGCAGATCCCCACAGCCACTCAAATGTGTCCCCCACAAGTAAAAAATACATGTTTTAGGCAGGACTCCTCAACTGTAAATTATCAACCCACCTCAAGATGCCTTGAAAGAAGAAACAAAAAAGAAAGTGGGGAGGTCATGCTTAGGTTTTGTGACAGCCTAGTACAGGCCTAGGGCTCGCTTCAGGTGCATCCGTGGGGCACAGACCATGTTTCCCTGGCCCGGCCCCTCCTGGGGCTCACCCGATAGTAACCCCCACATGCCCTGCACTCGCCAGCACCTGCCAAGCCCTGCTAAAATTAGCTGGAGTTTGCAGTGGGTCAGGTATGGAGGGTGCTTTGTCAGGATGCCAGGCTCTCCCGCCAATGGCCAGAGTGTTCACCCCTGAGAGAGCCCTTGACGCAATTGATCCCTTTCCTAAAATAGAGCAAAAGTGGCCTCACCAGACCCCACGCGAGGGTCACTGACCCGGCCGGCCCCTAGCTGTGAGCCGCTGCTTGCTCGTGGGCAGGGCTCATGCCAGGGTTGAGGGCGGGTGCTCTTCTGGGCCAGCCAGACCAGGAAGCAGTGGCCCAAGGGGGCCTGCCCTTCTCCTGAGCCAAGCACATAGCGCTGGTGAGGAGGGTCAGAGTTTTTTAGCTCTGTCACCTGAGAAGTGGGAGCGGAGGGTGTGGACAAAGGCGGGGCAGAGGCAACGGGCCCCCTGCTGGGTTTGGCTGGATGCCAGTGCCCTCTCTAGCTTGTACTTGAGCAACCAGCAGCCTTCTCCAGAGTCCTTTCCTGGTGCCACCTCCTCGGTTCACTGGCTCCTGTGAGGGCAGAAAGGGGACCAATGGCCCCACTTCCCCACCTGTCAGTCCCCCAGGACCAGCTTCTCGTGCCTCAGGCCGGCCCTCCTGAGCCCCCTCCTGGTCTTGTCTCAGTGCTTCCTCTTTAGGTGAAGGAGTGACACCCATGGTTCACATGACACTACAGCCAAGTGTCGTCGTACCAGGAGACAGTCCCTGCCCTCAAAGAATTCTGTACGGACAAACCTGTCCAGACCTGTGCAGACAAGGGGGGCCAGGAAGGAGAGGGCCTCAGAGACGATGGCTTCTGAGGGGTGCCCGGGACGCACTTGTGTTCAATAGGTTGAGGCTGTCCCGAGGAGGATGGATGGACATTGTTCCTACTTGGAGCTTTCTAGAAAAAAAGAGCTGTGCAACGGTGGGCTAGGATGTCTCAGCAGATGGTGAACTCTGCATTCGATGGGGAGAGAAAAAGAAGGGTCGAGTCAGAAGGGACCCTGCGCTGTGTCCCAGCTGGCATCCCCGTCCATTGGTTGCACAGGGAAATAATAGGACAAGCTCAGTGATGGGTCCTCAAGATTATTCATTCTAGTATCAAAACATGGGACACGTGGGCTGGCTGGTCAGTTGGTTAGAGCATGGCGCTGAGAGAACCAAGGTCCAGAGTTCAATTTCTGTACCGACCAGCTCCCAATTAAAAAAAAAATGGGACACAACCCAGGTATCCAACTATAGGGGATTGGTTAAGTAACTTATTCTACATTTATATGCAGTCATTAAAACTGGTAAGATGCTCTGCCTCTATTGGCATGGAAAGATGCTCATGACATACCATCTAAGGGGGTTGTGGCAGCGGCCACCCTCCAAGATGCCTCCCACGGGCCCTCCTCTGGTATTCGCCCCACAGTATAGTCCCCTCTCATGTGGAACAGCTCCAGCCTGTGTAACAAATAGGATAATGCAGACATGCTGCAGTGTGACTTGGAGGCTGGGCCATAAAAGATGTCATGGATTTGGCCTTGCTCTCTCTTGGATTGCCACGTCATGAGGATACTCAAGTCCTATGGGAAGGTCCACTGAGAAGTGAGGACTCCTGCCAACGAGGGGCTTCAGCTTGGCAGGCATGGGGAGAACCACCTTCGAAGCAGACCTGCCAGTCCCAGTCAAGCTTTCAGATGAGGCAGCCCCAGCCGCCACCCGCCTTGACTGCAAACTCGGGAGAAACACCAAACCAGACCTCCAGCTAAGCTGCTTCTTAACTCCCCACCCACAGAACATGTGAGATAATAAAGATTTGTTGTTTTAAGGCACTGCATTTGAGGTAATTTGTCATACAGCAATAGATGACTAACACAGGGGAAAACCAGTCACACCTCGGAGGAAATACAGCAAAATGATAACAGTAATCGTTTTGATGGTGAAAATATGAGTAATTTTAATTTATTTTCCTTTTTTGCTTATCTGTATTTCCTACATTGTTCTGCAATGAATGTGTATTAATGGAGTAATATTTAAAAATCAGGTTCAAAAAAAAAGGGAAGGCTGGGTCTTATCTGCTATTTTGGCACAGAAGCTCTGAGACGCAGACTCTAAAGGATAGAGGATCACAGTAAAATAGGCCAAATGCCAGACCCCATATGCCAGTGGGAAAGAAAGTGGAGGCCAGGATGCC